CTTTAACTTAATCCTAGCAATTCTGAGTGGCTGTGGATTGTAGGGCCACCTGGATCCAGGGATTTTCCATCTCTAACCTTGGATGGGTTAGCACTTCCCCATTCAAGAGCAGTGCCTTCTCTGTCACGGCGCCTGCCCTGTGGAATGGTCCTCCCTGAAATCTGTGTGGCTCTACTCCATTGGCATGCCAGAGGCCTTTTAAGGCTTGGCTGTTCTCCCAGGCCTTGGATTAGAGTGGATGGAAGTCCTGTGTGGCACCCATTTTGTAGATTAGTTTTGTTAAATAAACAAGATGGAAGATCTGGCTACTTATCTTGTACTGTGTTGTTTTATTTTCTCATTCTGTTCTGCTATACTGTATTGTGAGCTCCCCAGAGTGGTTTGGGAAGTCAGGTGGTGCCTAAATCGATTAAATAATAATAAATAATTATTATTACCTTTAGTAGGAAAATATATTTTTATTTCTGCCCAAAGCTCACTTAATGTGGCTAACAATAACAAAAATACTTCAATTCCCACAAAACAATTATAATAAAGATTCATGTAACTCAAAATAAAAATCCCTGGTTAAATCGGAAGGTTCGGACTGAGCATAACGTCCAAGGGAGTGCGTTCCAAACGAAGGTTGGGAGGGACACGAGCTAATCTAAGGGGCCATCTAGGAGGGCCTCTTCTGCTGAGTTTACTACCTGGATAGATTCATGCTAAGATAATTATCCTTTAGATATCTGACTTCTAAGCTAGAAGTTAAATCCATTACTTTAAATTGTGTCTAAAAAACAATGGGCAAATAGACCAGTCTTCCAACAGGAACATTACACATCAGGTATCACGCACCAATTAGCTGCCTTGCTGCTGCATTTTACAGCCACAGAGCCTTCCAGGCACTTTTCAAAGGTAGACCCATGTAGAGTGCATTGCAGTAATCTAAACCATGTATAACTAAGATATGATATGGTATTTCCTTAAGGAATAATGGCTCTCTGTTGAAAAATTACTTAAGACTTCTCTGGAAGTGTAATGAAATTACTTCTGCAATCCTAGCTCCTTTAGAAAAATAGAGAAACACAACAAAATCTAGGGGAAAAAACCCTACGAAAAATAGAGAGAGACATTAGAGGCAGACCACATAGGCTGTCATTTTTAAATTCTACAAATTGGAACTTGGACCTTGCTGTATTTACCACCACCCCTGCAAAAAGAGGAAAAATTATACAAACGCATATAGTGTAAATGACAAATTGACATAGTATCATGTTTATCATGCATTCCATAAAGATCCCAAAGAAAGACTCAGTATTTCATCATAATTAAAAATGCCCTTCAAAAGTGATGTAGGGCTCACATCTTTTATGTTTATTGCAGATTTACTAGGGCACAAATTCTAGCCTTCAAATTACTGAGTGACAAGATATACTACTCCCAGACTTTAAGAATTTCAGCATGATATTGCAAAATCTTCTGTGGTGGTTTGATCAACCAATTGTTTGGTTAAGAACACCCACCTTTTATTAAGGAAGAGAACATTAAACTTGGAATCATATGTCAGGGTGTGCAGTGTACACTCCGTGCAGTGGTGCTCCGTGACACAAAATAAACAGTCCACAGTCCAATGTAGAAAACTTGCACACAGATGTTTAGTGTACAATATATACAGAATGTACACCACCAACCTGCAAATCCCTAATTACTTCCCAGAACTCCACCAGCCACAACTCCTATCACCAGCCACACTATAACCCATGGTGCACTTTATTATATACAGTGGTTTGTGCTGTCATGCTGCCACACCCTACAGGTGTGCGCTCTGGGTAGGTTGCGCGGATTACAAACACAGTCAAGCTGCGCTCTGTCAAGTGCATATTCTCACTGAGAAATTATTTACTCTAGGGTAATAACCTGACATCATACCCATTAAGTTGGCATGGGATGAAGTGACAGAATCTTCATGCATTCCCAGACAAGTCAAAACTTCAAGTTCCTTGAGGGTCACAAATTATGATAAAGAGCTGGAACATTGAGAAGGGTGTGTGATGTCCTTGATTGCTTAATGTGTTTATAGATAAATGCATAAGTAATGGTGACATTGAGAGGTAAACTAGTTAATGAGTCATTTTTTTTATGTAGTCCATGTTATGTTGTTGATTAAACATCTGAATGATTTACAGTCAATTAGTTACACTATGTGATGCTACAAGGGGCATGGTTCTGAAAAATAATGTATCAAAGATTAAGGTGATTGTGTTTGACAGAGAAAATGGAGTGAATGACTGCAAGCTATATAAATGGAGAAAAACTAGAGCAAGCAAATATATTTGTGAACTTTGGTGGAATGCTTACTAAATATGGGAAAATGGAGACACTTTAGGACAAATGCTGATGAATAGTGGCCCCCAAGTGTTATATTGTGAGGAATGAATGATTACATATAAGTTTGCTTCTGCCCACTTTGCTGTACAGAAGTGAGAGGTGGGTATGTTAGGAGAAATATAAAAACTTGGATGCAGCTGGAATGGAGTACAGTACTTAATAACTATATGCAGTAAAGGAAGACATATGGTCAACAGTGAAGGGTGTTAAATGAATGTGGACTGAATCCAAACGGGAATAATATGAAAGTAATTTGGTTGAGCAATTTGATTATTTATGGAGAGAATCAGAATCAAATCTCAAAATAAATACATGATGAAAAAATGAAAGGCTGGAGAGTAAGGGGAAGACTGAAAGTCAATGATTGATTAGAACTGATGGTCTGAATAAAGAGAGGCGTGAGAAGGTTAAAAAGCAAAAGGCTACATATGAAGTGATGAATGGGAACAGTGGAAGCAAAGATCATTTGCAAGGATACAAAGACAGGGGGAAGTCTAGTGAGTGGTGTTCATGTAAATTATAGCTATTTCCTTTTCTATCTCCTGTCTTTAATTTCTTCACCTATTTCTTACTCCTTTCTGCACATTACATAAAGTTGCTTAGCCACAAAGAGAATATAATGTGATGCATATATAGGTATGAATGTTAGGTCAAAGTTGAGAAAAGCAGGAGTTAAATATTTAAATTATTATTGGCTGGGCAGTAATTTAATTATACTGGAACAGAAGGATATAAAGAGAATGGGATGACAGTAACAGAATAATAAAGGAGGAGGAAATGAATCATGGAAATTAAAATGTAGAGAATAGAGGTGCCTCAATGTTAAAAATAACTGAGATGGGTTAAATTTATTAGTCCATGGGGAAGATAGAGTCACAAAAATATATCTTTAAGTAAATTAGAGTTAAAGATAAAGGTCAGATAGTACAAAAGAGTTATGAATATGTGAGATGAATAATGAAGAGCCTTACTGATACAATATAAGTCAAAGAGAACATGTTGCAAAATTTCAAGTATAAATTAGCTATAGCCTCATTTCCAAAAGTCATAAACATGTGATTCTATGCAGTTCATCACATTTTATTACCATAATCAGTTACATATATGGAATTGCTTCCATCAAATCTGAAAGCCATTCAACTTAGTCAAATCTATTATTTTTAAAAAATAAATTACAGACAAGCAAGAGGATAAAGTGCTTAGCAAAACTATTTTGTTTTCCATTGCATCTCCTGTATTCTATCAACTGATAGCCAGTGTTTCTCTTTGTCAGCCAAAGGAAGTGGAACAATGAACAAAAAGATGGGAAATGCCTCTGTTTCCTACATTCTCTGTTAAATTAAGAGATTATTAAAGAAAAGGATCTGGATATGTTGGAAGCTACAAATCCAAATTCCTGAGAAGGTCATCACACTCAATGATGAAAGCAGGACATTATTTCATTCATTATTCCCCAGTATAAAAATGCATAGTGATTTGGCTTTCTCTAAGTCAATAATGCTAACCAACTGCCAAGCAATGTCAAGAAGACAAGTTCCTTATGGCAAACAAAACACAGAGTAATTGTTCAAAGGGTACAGTATGGACTGAAGAAGTCATGGTAAGGCTTGTTCCAGGGTATGAAATCAAAAAGGTGCAAGTTAGTTAACTGTTATGGAAGAAAGAGGAGAATCTAGGCAATGGCAGCTTTTCAAAAAACCTAATCGCAGCGTGGAATAGGGGAGCAGCTTGGGACTTTGTGGGAAGCTAACTCTCCCCATAAGTTGCAAAATGGGCGGACAATGAGAATGAGGGAGCAAAATGGTTCTGGCCTCATCCATTTCTGGTGCTGGCCTCATCCAGTGCTGTTAGTGCACAGTCCTATGAAGAAACATGCTCCCTTAGATTGACAAGGGTTCTCCAACGGTTCTATATGGGAATATCCAGCAATTGATCAGCAATCTGCTGGAGCTAGGAGCAGGTGAAGACTATGTCTTTCTTTGTGGAGTTAACAAACATATCATTACTGTCAAGGAAGTACTTTCTTATGCCAAGAGAAACTAGAGACTTCTTCTTTAGAAAGCATTCAGAAAAGATTGACCAATTTCTCCATCAAAGATTCTGTGTTAAGAATATAGGTATACAGTATAGAACTTTTAATATATTCTAACATACTAAATTAGAAAACTACACACACACACACACAGACCAAGGACCAGATCCAGGTTGTTGTCAATTAAGTTTGCCTGAAAGAGCTTAGCAAGCACGGTGCCATGATACATTAAGTAAGAGCTCTGGGTCTATGTGTATTTTATACTATGGCTTGAACCAAATGCTTGGCCAGTACTGCTTCCATTAGAGGCTGCCTACTTACAAACTTACTTACTTACAAACAGAACCATCAAACAGCGGCCTTCCTTTGCAGCTCTTAACAATATTATTCCATCATTTATTCCATCAATGTAATGCTCACGTAAATATGTCTCTCAGTATTATCCTCCCCAATTTTCACCTCAGGGCTCATTAGCTAGCAAGAAATCATTTCTTCAGCTACCATGTAAAAGAATACTGTCTGGAAAGCTGGTCTAGTATCCAGTCCAAGTATGGCCCCGAGGAGGAAGAGGTGGTGGTGGTAGATACCCAAAGGAGGGATTTGGACCTGTGGGATATGGAGGCTGGGAGGGAACAGGGAAGCTAATTGCTGCAGGCTGAGTGGGATAAGGGCATGGTGGCCCTCCTCCTGATGGAAAATAGGGAGGCTGCATAGGCTGAGGGAATCCTGGTGCTACAGATGGAGCCCTGAGAGGCAGCTGTGGATATCCTTGTCCAGAAGAGGGTGTTCTGGATGGAGACCAAGAGTACCTGGATGGTGAAGACAGGTCACCTGTCTGAGGCTGGGGCACTGAATTACTTGAAGGAACAGGTGGGTATCCAGGTGGTTTATATGGAAATGGGGGCTGGACACTTGGTTGAGAGGACGCAGCATGTCCCACTGTAACTGGTGTTCCTGCAAATGGACCTGGCAGGAGACCCCCATGAGCTGAAGGACCTGCTGGAATACAAGGTGCTATACTATAAGGTAAAGGAAAGGGTGGTTCCCCAACTGAACTTTTCTGTGGCTGCTGACTTATAGGTCCAGAAGATATGTGGGAAGGAGACTGGTGGTTAATTTCATTGCCATCTGCTGGCTCTGGCAAGGATTGAGATTTTTGCAGCACTTCTTGAAGTTTCTCCACTTTTACTCGCCGTAGATGAGACAATTTCCTCATGGTGGAAAACTGCTCCAGAAATGTCTCCAAAGGCACCTCCCCCTCCAGGAACTTTTCAGCCATCATCTGGAATGAAAAAAATAATAATTAAAGCAATGCTTCCATCTGCAATAGAGACAACATATAGGTAGTCCTCAGTTAACGACCACTCATTCAGCAATTGTTCAAAGTTACAGTGGTGCTGAACAAGTGATACTTATGACCAGTTCTTGAAGTTCCCCGCAGTCACATGATTGTGATCTGAGCACTTGGCAACCAGCTCACGCTTACAAGGTTGCAGCACCCTGCAGTCACGTGATCGCCATTTGTGACCCTCCCTGCCAGCTCCCCACAAGCAAAGTCAATGGGAAAGCCGGCAGGAAAGGTCACAAGTTGCTCAGGTAAGTTTTCCATGCCTGCCAACAACCATCCAAGCCTTGCTGCACTTATGCCAGGCCACACCCTTGCACACCCTCCCCCACCCCGCAGCAACCACTTATCTATCTGCTGGCCTGCTTGTGAGCCACCTGGGACTTACAACTTCCTGCTGGCTTCCCCACTGACTTTGTTTGCAGGAAGCCAGCAGAAAGTTGCAAGGAGTTCCTCACTTAATGACCTGCAAACCTCACTTAACAACAGCTATGGGATTGCCATCACTAAATGATACGGTCACATGATGTCACGCTTTATGGCAGCATCGCTTAGCGATGGAAATTCTGGTCCCAACTACCATTGTAACCCGAGGACTACCTATATTCTAATTCCTGACAATGAGGCTTCCTTATTCAAGTCAGAGGCTATTCAATTTCCCTGCAAGTGGTAAGATAACACAAGGAAAAACAAATGCTTATTCTTGTCCACAATCAGACACAAATGGAGAAAGGAAAAGGAAGATGCATGAGACCAGAACATAAGTTACAGGCATGAAGGATTTGAGATAAATGATGCAAATTCTGGTAAAATGCCTTTCATTCCTACATAATGCAGAGAACCTGTTTCTTGCTATATTTTATTTTGTACTCTGTTCATGCTTAAGTGACTAGCCTCAATTAGCCTTTCCAGCAAAGTTTGCTTAGGTGAGACAATCTTCAAAATAGCTGAGATGATACTAACAGACTTTTAAACACTTCCTTTTGATGCCTCACTGAGCACACTTGAGAAATGGTCAGCTGCTATGTGTACAGTGAAGGATCAAAAGCTAATGGAAAAATACTGATTATTTATTGCAAGTAAAATATCTGGGAGAAACAGGGAGGAAGAGGAGGAGGAGAAAATAAACTCCATGTTTACGATTGCTAGCCCAGTGGGATTTTCAGACATAACAGATACAAATTTTAGGGGTAAATTTAGGATGTTTTAGGGCCATATAAATATCACAGGTATTTGCTTGTGCTCTCTAACAAGGACAAAATGTGGGAAAGCTCAGCTGGAGCTGACTTTTAAAGTTCAATTTCTACCATTAAAACCTGTTAAAATAAATTATTCTGTCTTGAGTTTAAATCACGGACTAACCTCAGACTCTTCTTCAATTTTCTGCCCTTCCACCTTCAGAAGATTTAACAGGGTATCAGGCTGTGTTGCCGTTGAGAATTGCTCTGAGACAAAAAAATGGAACACCTAAAAATTACACAAAAATGCACTTCTCTTCTTCACTTCAATGCAAGCAGCAGCACCTGGTTCTGCACATATACATGAAAGCTACCAGCTTCTGAAACAAGGATCATGTTGCTTTAAGAGCTATTGTCATGGAATCTGAAGCCATAACCAAGGGGGAAGAAGGGAAAGTGACCAATTAAAAACAAAAAATCTGTTACAAGTGCAGAGTTTTTGATGGACAAGATGGTCACTGACACCATAATGTTGTGCAGGCTTGACCATTGGGTGGCACCAACAAATGTGTCCAGATGAGGAGGTGCCAACTGTACCCTATAGCCACTCCAGGTCCCAAGACCAAGAAGAAGGAAATGTAAGAAGTTATCTTGGCTAGAAAAAGCCCATTGGCTAACTATTCCACCTCTATCCCTACCACCCACAGCCATCTGAAAATTTACCCAGCTTTGACTTCTGCTTCTGGCATCGCTCCATCAGTTTTTGCAGATCTCGATATCGGTCAGAGAGGTTTGCACGTCCTGCTTCCAGAGGGTCCTGGAACTTCAGGTTTTGCTCTGCCAGGCTACGATTTGTAGCCAGAGCCATCTCCCTTTGCAACTGTATGTTCTGGACCTGAGAAATGAAATGTTAGGCAAATATAGCTCCTTCTAAAAAGAATGGTTTCTCTCTTCCATAACTTTCATGTATATGAACGATTACCTCATTAGACTCCAATGCCAACCGTTCAATCTCTTCCAAATTTTCCTGTAGTTCTTTCAATTCATCTACAGTCTTGTCTCTGAATGTCTCCATCTTTGGGGGAGCTCATCAATTCCTTTGGAATTAAGAGAAAAAGAAGGTGATTAGTAATTTCATAACATCCTCCAAGCATATTTGGTTGCAGGGCAATTTGGACATTGTCACTGTCAGTTTCTGTAAGCCATATTCACAGGCAAAAATTATATCACAGGACAGCACAATAATTGCTCACTCATCCTTTCTCCACTTATGTATATTAGTGTGAAGTGTAATTTTACATATAAGTGCCAGACCAATAACAGAAGACTCTGCCTGTTAAGGCCATACACTGTGCATTTATATGTAGCTGAATATATCATACAAAGTATTGTGGGAAAAATGCCCACCTTAAAAGAGGGACAAAGCAACCAGAGATAGATGGAACAAAGTATACTTTATTGGCATGCACAAATTACTGTGATCCTTGGGCTCTTTGCCAAAGGACTGCAGAAGAGCCCCAAACAAAGCAAGGCTACAGATTATATACTTTTGATATGTTACATAGGAATAATAAAGACAATTTTGTAAATCATAGCATGACCTTTGCAGCCAGAGTATAGCAACTGACAACATCATGGGGTGACCTTATTATGATCTGACCCAAAGCCTCTAAATTCTGCATTCTTACAAAGGCTCCAAGCCCACCTCCTTCTACTGATACTAGCACCTTCTAACATAAACAATACTTTTTATATTGTCTCCATTCACGCCAGGGAAAGGCAACAATCTAGTTTCAGTTATCCATCTCCTTCCCCTCCAGGGTCATCAGTTCCAGCCTCCTGCTTTTAATCAGGACTACTGCAGGCCTGGTTTCATTCATAACTTAGCCACTTTTAATTAATGATTTAAATCTCCACAAAAGGCAAGACGGGCCCAATTAAATATTATCTCACCACTCCACCTGTGCCTAAAGCACATGGGAATACTGTTCAGCATTCTATGTGTGATTAAAGATGGTCAAAAAAGAAAACATAAATCTTCCAAAAACTAAGTAACAGGAAGAAATGAAAAGACAAAGGTGAACTAAAATACTCTAAATAACTTCTGCTTCAAATTATGTTTCAGGGAGAATACCCAATAAGTGACCAGCAATGGTTTATGTAGCTTTATGGACTGAATGGTGGCTAGACAGGGAAGGTAATGCCTGAAAAACAGGAAGGGGATTTTGCAAAACAGTCTCCATTTGAATGTTGCCATCCTAAACAAGTAGGATCAGTTTAAGAATTTGCAACACTCTTGTGCAGCAGGGAGTTTTCGGATATGGCTCAGTCTAACACTGCAACCTTAGCAACCAAAGCTAAAGGGAAAAAAGCAGAAATAAGAATACAAATTGTTCAGAAATATACTATGCTGACCAGTACTTTAGCAAAAGGATTAGGATAAATATCTGCATATATAACATTCCTTCATTTTCAAAGTAATTAAAAAAAACCTCTTTAATTCATCTTCTCTTGTTCAGAATCCTGTTTAATCACTTGCTTTTATTTTTAGAACAAAGGAAATTCAGAGTATTTTTTTCATTGTATTTCCCTAGTCATTACACAATGGCAAATGTACAATGTACTACTGGCATGAAAGAACTCTTTTCTGTTCAAAATAACTAAATAAATCTTTATCTCTCTTTTGAAAATTATAGCTCCAAAATGCATCCTAATGGGAAAGATGAAGCCTTTGAATCATTATTATTACTCACGGACATTATAACAAAGCACATGGTAAGTCAAGACAGACAACCACTCTTGGTTTTTCTACAGAAATTAGAAATCAGAACACACTTTTCAGGCTTCTTGTTACTTTCTACTATTTTTCCCACTGATTTATGTAAGTATCGGCCCTTTAGTGCTACCACAACATCTTTCCAAACCTTGTTGTGGTTTAATACTCACACAAGCAGCTTCTCTGTACAATAAAAATTACAACCAATGCAGTTTCCCATTGTGATTGATCCTGGATACAATAGTCTTTTGTGACCCACTACAACGAGACAATTTGACGTCTTCCATACGTAAACAGATTTTGCAAACAAAGCTTATTGTTATTATTCTGTCTCCACAGCTTTTTTTAAACAGCTTTCCTCATGGTCACATATGATATCATGGAGATCCATGACTGAACACCATAGAGCTAGGGCACCAGGGAGAGAATACCTCAGAGGTTGGGGATAAAATGAAAGGAGGGAGCTATGTAAGCTGCCTTAAGCTCTTTGAGGAAAGCTGGAATACC